GCGAGGGGAAGTGGTCCCGGCGCGGAGACCAGCGAGGGGAAGTGGTCACGGCGCGGAGACCAGCGAGGGGAAGTGGTCCTGGAGAAAATTTACCTTGGAGCAGTTGAGAGCCGGTGCAGTGCAGACTGGAGGCTTGGAGCGAAGTGAGGATAGTTGTTGGAATGGGGTCTGGCATGGACTGTCAGACCATGTGCGGAAGCCCCTGCTTTCAGCTACTGCAATGTAATGTTTGTGTGTAATTTATTTATATGACTGTAATGTCTATTCTTGTAACTATGTCTTATTTCTGTAAAGTTATGCAACTACTTTTTATTATTCCTCTTTTGTATCTAAACTTTGTACCTGAGATAGTGCCATAAGAGGTGACATTGTAAACTTTTCACTGTAGTCCCTCACTTCTGTACTTGAGTGCACGTGACAATAAAGCATATTCGAAAGTGCAGCCTTCACCCAGTAACTGCTGGATGAATTCAGTGATCTGAATCTAGATATCTTTTTTTATTGCTTTTCAGAACTTCAGAGATGTTTTGTGTGAGAAAGCACTGTGGTAATCACAGAGATATTTGACTTTTCTGGTAATGAGTTGTAAAACGCCCAGCAGTGAATCTCTCTGCATTATGGGACACAAAAGTGGAAATGCAAACTTTCACATTTACAGGTTTGAAGTGTCCCTTCAGAAACCAGACTGTCCAGTCCTCAGCTGAACAACTGATAGTCGTGAGGAATAAATGTAAAGTTGCCATAGTCGTACCAAACCACAGTGCTGCTCTCTCAGAGAGACGACTGATGATGGTTTAACCTGAGGATCACCATACCTCAGGCAAGGGGAGAGCTTGAGAAGTAGGGACTTCATGGTCATGTCAGCTGGTGCTGAGAATTGAACCCCCAATGTTGACGTTACTCTGCATTGTAAACCAGCTGTCTACCCAACTAAGCTAACCGACCTCCATCCTGAGGACTAATAAAAAGGCACAGACAGCAAAACAAAAATACCCTCTGCATGATATTTAGTTAGCTTTCAAAGACTCTGCCTCTTTTATGATCTGTAATCTCTGCGATCTCTCTCTTCTGTCTATTAGCAGCAGACCTCAGAACCTGCACATCCCCCTCATGGACCAAACCTTCCCAGCATTCCCATGCTTTGACTCAGTGGGCGAGTGGTTGGATGCCATTGAGATGGGCAGATACAAGGACAATTTCACTGCAGCTGGATACTGCTATCTGGAGTCAGTCGCCAGAATGACAGTTCAGTAAGTGATCTTTAATTCAGACAAATCGTCATTGGTCTATGCTTTTCTTCAGTGGCGCAGACATGAAAATGAGATTACCACACTCTGTATCTGCATGGAGAATATCCTGTGTTAGGTCCAGGAAGATCCCTAACAATTTAGATAGACTACCATTGGCAAACAGTATGACTGCTCTACTCCGCAGCAGTGAAGTTTGGAATGTGCCTGTAACACTGTCGGCTTGGTTACATGGCCTAGGGATATGTTAGATGTTACTCACAGTATACAATAACCTGAACCAAACAAGAATTTCCCTCCCTCCTGTATGTGAATTTTATGCTCACTAAATTGATGCTACTACAGAGTGACCATGGTGTGACCGCTGTATTGTCTCAGATCAGAAAGAATCAGCAACTCTGTTCCAGTAGTCTGCCTTCTCCCAGAATGAGCTGTCTGCTCATTACTTTACTGCTAAGATTTTCACAACCTCCTTTAGTCTTCATTATGTGCTTTGTGCATATAACATCTCCAGAAAAGATTTCTAAGTGCCCACTGACAATGGGAACCTCATCTCCCCACCACCGCATGTCAGATAATCACGTGTGTTCCCTACAAAGTGGCCTGTACTCAAAGACTTTAGATTAACACTTTGGAATATTAACAGGATGTTGCCAGAATTGGAGGGTTTGAATTATAAGGTGAGGCTGGATAAGATGGGACTTTTTTCACTGGAGCATAGGAAGTCGAGGGGTGACCTTAGAGAGGTTTATAAAATCATGAGGGGCATAGGTAAGGTGAACAGCAAAGGTCTTTTCCCTAGGTTGGGGAAGTTCAAAACTAGAGGGCATAGGTTTAAAGTGAGAGGGGAAGGGTTTAAAAAGGACCTAAGAGGCAACTTTTTCACACAGAGAGTGATGCATATATGAAATGAGAAGTAGATGCAGGTACAGTTTCAACATTTAAAAGACATTTGGACAGGTACATCAATAGGAAGTGTTTAGAGAGATATGGGCCAAATGCGGGCAAGTGGGACTAGTTTATGTTGGGAAACTTAGTCGGTATGGACGAGTTCGGCCGAAGGGTCTGTTTCTTAGCTGTATGACTCTATGACTCTGTAAATGTGCATTTGGATAAAACATTCCCAAGAATAGAGAAAGATCCCAAGACGTTTCACAGAGACGGAAGAAGAGCTGATGAAATGAAAAACAGTTCAAATGGGGTGAACGAAAAAATGGCCAAAAGAGGTAGCTTCAAAAAAGCCTGTTATAGAAGGATATGGAGGTGCTGGGTTTCAGAGGTGAACGCCATTATGTGAGAGATCTCGGTGGCTGAAATAAGGCTTTGGTTTCACTGGCTAGGCTGTGTGACAGAATCAGAGACTGTAGGTAAAGGAAAGGATAAAGAAGGCCATGAAAGGTTACAGGATTAGAGGGGGATGGTGACCATGGAATAATTATAAAAAATATGTCAACACAAGATTTATGGAGTTGGGAAATGAGAAGCTGAAAGTCCAGAAATTTCTGATTGTTTTCTTAGCAAAGTCAATTCTGGAAATTCACGTAAAAAACACAGGTCAGAAAATCTCGATCATGATTCAGCAGCTATATCAGAAAAACGAATCTAACAATCATGATATCTAACTTGTAACAAATACTGCATCAATTACTTCAAATTTCAGAGATAGTAGGAACTGCAGATGCTGGAGAATCTGAGATAACAAGGTATAGAGCTGGATGAACACAGCAGGCCAAGTGTGTTCATCCAGCTCTACACCTTGTTACTTCAAATTTCAGTCAGGTTTTAAACATTTTGTTGCAACACTACGGTATGTTCAATTATCTTAACAGCCAATATTTTGCAGCACACGAATTGATGAAAGCTGCAAATGTTTTTTGCAGCTAAAATAACTTGAGAATATGTTGTCATCATTGAAAGTTACAATACAGCGTGCTTGGAACTGCAGTGGGACTCTGTAAAAGTTGTGTGAATGAAATAGGTAAATTGTTAGTTGCGATTTGGCTTCACTCATCTCAGTATTTTGCTTGTTCTCTCAGGATGTAGTCATGAACTTGGAATCAGTAACTTTTTTTCAGCTCTAATCCTTTTTTCACCTTCTCTTCACCATGTTGGTGATGCTAAATGACAAAATAACTGATTGGTAAGACCAATACATATCCTGCATGTTAATACGCGAGTGAGTCACTAGTTAAAACCAATATCGTTGGCACTTTTACGATCATAAGATAGCTTATTAAATAAAATGCTTATTTAAACACTCCTATTCCATTGTCTGTTCCTATCACACAAGATAAGCTGCAGGCTGTTTTCTTTCAGTGACCATTGCAAAACTGGAAGTACAGTGCTATTGGGCAGCGGTGTTTAGTTGGGAGGAAGAAGACCTTATAGTCCAGGTTGATTTGAGCTACTTGATCCAATGCATTGGCTGATACTGCAGGTAACCCCTAAAGATCTGTGCCACCTGCAGGTACACTGCAGGTAACCCTTGCAGCTTGAGACCAGAAGGAGGCAGACGAGCTGAAGGAAGAGAGAACCTCGACTGCCAGTGACAATCAGGTTGGCTACACCCAGCAGCACATACAGGTGGCACCGATCTTCAACTGGCTGCCAATGTGAAGCCCAGATATCCAGGTCCCCATAGTCATGGTTGGGATTATATACCAGATCCTTTTGGCATAAATGACGGGAGTGGGCAGGATGGCTGTTATGCCGAATAAACCAGAGATATTATATGAACAGAGCTTCCGAAGCAATCTCCAGTATCAGTGTCAGCTCATCAACTATAGGACTCTTCTCCAAACTCCAGGGACAGTTTAACCATCAGCCTACCTTTGTCTCTCTATTTGTATTTATGGATTAGCATATTTTAATATCTTGTGTGGATTTAATGACATGAATAATAACATTCAAGCTGCTGTACATAGTTAAGATGTTCTTTGCACTTTTTAATTTGCACCATGGGTGGATAGACGTTTTTAATCACTATTCTCACTGAGATTAACCCCTGCTTTTCACATTCTGCTGGAACCTAAGAAAGGTTTCAGTTTTGGGTAGTTTCCCAATGAGCAGACGGCATTTAAGACTGCTAGAAGGTGAAGAGATCACCTCATTCACATTTTCTCAATAATATTTGTTATTATTTAAAACAAAATCATACAGTGATTATAGTCTTGAGGGAGGCCATTCAGCAACTTGTGATTGTGCTTGCTCTCTGCAATGTAGGAATTCAGCTAATAGCACTCGCCTGCCCTCTCCCCATAGTTCTACAATTTCATTCTCTTTGTTTGCTTATCCAATTCCCTTTGGAATAGATCAAAATACTACCAGCTTTTGAAGCATCTGCAAATTTTGGAATTTTGTTCCGTGCTCCTAAGTCTGGGCTATTAATTTATTGACAGGAATAAAGAATGTGCGAGAAATTCTTTTAAAAAGATGTCTCAAAGCAGGGCTGTCTGATTTATCTCATCCAAACAATCTCTGTTAGGCAGAGAGAGAATCCACGTAATTTCGATTGCACAGCCTCTCTTAAAATGCAATGTTTTAGTGCAGCTATGACAGTCTTTTTGCAAAAGACCTTCTCAAATTTTTGTTCAGTATTAGAGTCAGATTTCTAGTTTCTTTCATGCTTGTTCTGCTGATATGCTACCAGCTTCAGTTAAAAAGTGCCTGTTGGCATTTTAATTGACTGTAGGGTGTGGGAGTATTGAAGATTCTGTACGTAAGAAAGAGAACTGCAGGATCTGAAGCGTCTATTACAGATTAAAACTGATCTCTGGATTCCCAAGGTGTTGTGCCTGTCAGTGGCAGAGCAAATCGAACATTACGTGACTAATTGAGGACACTAGGGCAGCACCGCATGTATGTGACAGCCCCAAACTGAAGCTGTAATCATCAACTGGAGCTCCTTTCCGAAATAAAGTTTGACTGCTATCTTCCAGAGGCCAGTAAATCGAAGTAATGGTTCTTGAAAACAGCTCGTGCAGTCTGGCACCATGGATATATCTCCTAAATGAAAGGAAATATGTGAGGCAAAAGCTTGTCTTTCTTCAAGGCTTCTCCCCACAAGTTAACAAATGTTGAAAAGTCGCAAAATGTCAGGCCAAATGTCCAAAAGCGGGCCAGTGAAAAACCTCGGGCTACAAAGTTCAGTTGGTCTATGATGGTGTTTGTGCTACACGTAAGCCTCCTCCCACCCCTATTTATCTCATCCTATCAGCATGTCCTTCTATTCCTTTCTCCCGCTTGTATTTATTTGGTTTCACGTTAAACATAGCTGTCTGTCTCATGTACTCCATGTGGGACCGAATTCCACATTCTCATCACTTTCTAAGTAAAGACATTTTTCCTGAATTCTATGTCATATTCATGACTGACTATCATAGGTGCATTGTTTCTGGTTTTGGTCTTCCCATCAGTGTAAGTTGCCTATCTAAAACCAAGGATTATAAAGCAGAAGCCAGAGAATTAATAACCCTTGAATGGCCTTTGGCAAGCTGGGCAACAATACTTCCAAACTCAGCTGGTTACCCCCACAATTCTCCATATGCGCTTGGTTCACAAATGTCCTTTAGGGAAGGAAACTGCCATCCTTACCTGGTCTGGCCTACATGTGACTCCAGACCCACGACAATGTGGTTGACTCTTAACTTCCCTCTGGGTAATTAGGGATGGGCAATAAATGCTGCCTGGGCAGCGATGCCCTCATCCTGTGAATGAATAAAGAAAAAAAAACTTGACTCCTACCCATCTTCCTCACTGAGCCTTAATGGTCCTAACCTTCATGGGCCAGGCTCTGATTAATAAAATCTCTTGACCAGATCTCTCTGCTGGGCACCAAACAAGGGAAAACCGCAAACAGCACCATTGCACACAAGAATGGTTTTCCTCAGGAATTTCCTCTCTTAAATCTCCCACGCACGCCTTCACCGTAAACGACATAATCAGGAAGGTCACCTATGTAGCTTAATCGTAACACAAAGGGCTCAGTGACAAAGACATCACTCTCCCCCTCACACTAATTTGATCAATTTTTTCATTTTATCATGTAATGTCAACATTACTGGCTATTTATTGTCCAGAGGACAGTTAAGAATCAACCACATTGCAATGGATCTGGAGTCACATGTAGGCTAGACCAGGTAAAGATGGCAGATTTCCTTTGTAAAGGACATTAGTGATCTAGATAGGTTTATCACAATTGATAATGGTTACATGGTCACCATTAGTCTAGGCTCTTATTCCAGATTTTTTTCTTGAATTCGATTGGAGGCGGCACGGTGCCTCAGTGGTTAGCACTGCTGCCTCACAGCACCAGGGACCTGGGTTCGATTCCACCCTTGAGTAACTTTCTGTGTGGAGTTTACACATTCTCCCCGTGTCTGCGTGGGTTTCCTCCGGGTGCTCCGGTTTCCTCCCACAATCCAAAGATGTGCAAGCTAGGTGGATCGGCCATGCTAAATTGCCCACGTTGTCCGGGGATAGGTCTGGGTGTGATATTCTGAGGGTCGGTGTGGACTTGTTGGGCCAAAGGCCCTGTTTCCACACCATAGGGATTCTATGATCTTCAAATTTCACCTACGTTCTAGATTCTGGATAACTAGCCCAGTGATATTACCACTATGCCACCAATTACCCTGTTGCCTGGCCTCAGACAATTGGCACCAAGTCCACTATTAGGCCCAAAAGCCATTTCTCCAGACCTTCAGCCAGTGGAGTTGTGGTGGATGCTCAGAGAAAGCCCCAGGGATCATTCAAGCACACTCTGTTTTCAATGTGATGCTAATGGCATTTGTCCAAGGAATGGTCTGTAAGAAGGTCTCAATGTAGGTCTACCTACATTCCTAGCATTCCCAATTGTTCTTTTAGTTTGTTCTTGACAAAATTGTTTGGCCACCCTGGCCTGAATTTCACAGACTGAAGACATTGAAGGAAACATAGTTTATCTTTTCTCTGAGATTCCTTTTTCTCCACAACTCCTGCCCGTCTCATCCTCATTCATGATCAAATCATCCCATATCAAATGTGACACCACATTTTAAAGTTCTCGTGATTCTTCTGAATATGAAAGTGATTCTTCCAACAGCTTAGTCACTAAAGGGGATGCTTAGTGACTACTGATCTAGAGACCAGGCAGTAGTAAGTGGATGAGCAATTAGTTTGTCTGACAGTTTTACATTTGCTTTCAATGCACTGATCCATGCACACTGGAGGAAAGACAAATATCCAGTCTTCTCAGACATCATTAAACCTGTGGCTCTGATACAGAGTGACTTGTTGCCTCAGATAAGGACAAGACTTGGTTCAATGTGATGCCTCTCACAGTTCAATAATCCACCATTATTTGCTCCCTCGGCCACATCGGCATGGCAGCTGGTGGTCTTGGATAAGATACCACAACCAGAAACTTTAGATAAGGGAAAAAAAATCAGCATTTTTAAAACAATAATCAGAACTTGTGAAAAATATAAAGGAATTGCAGCACGAGCTTGTAGCAAGCATAAACGATGCGATCAATTGGTGTGTAATGCTTCTCAGTTAAACCTGTGTGACTTTGATGAGACTCACCAGCCTCCCCCAACTTCATCTTCTGGGTCACTTCATCCATCTCAATTGAAGCTGTCGCTCACAGAGCAGCCTATAAGCAGCAGCCTTTCAGGATGTTCTGATCATTTCAGTTTTGGTCATTTGTGAGAGATTTTAATAAAAAGTTGTGGCAGGTAATTTAATGGATGAAGTGCCACTGGAAACGGGAGCTGATTATGCTGGTATGATTATTATACTTAGCTGTGCTTTTCATTCAGTCACCAGTACTGCCTCTACTCTTAGCCACTGCCTTGACAATGAATAGCAGCAGACTGCAGACACTAAATTCTCTCTGATTTTCTTCCACAGGGATGTAATGAGCCTGGGGATTACATGTGTTGAACACCAGAAACAAATCCTGAGCAGCATTCAGACTCTACGAGCACAGGTTATACAAATGCATGGACGAGGTGTTCAGGTTTGACAGTGGCCAGGGACGAGGTCTTCTCTGCAAGCTGCATTCTTGACAAATTGCCAACATAAACTGCTTGTTTGAAAGCAGTGTGTTTACAAGATGATGCCAGTGTGTGGGACGGCCAGGGACAAGGACCCGAGACCCAGTCTTTATTTTTTTTAATAAAATGATTCCAGCAGGGTTATCTTAGAATGGGTTGCTCAGGCAACCGGCTACATGGCATTCCTGTAAAACAAATGGAGGAGGAAAAGATCAGGATGTAAACAGCAGTGTCGAGTTCCCTTTTCTATATCGGCTGTTTTCATTTGATCGTTGTGGTTCGGTAAGCACTGTTCACTCTGATAGATGAGGATCTGGTAAAGGCACTCTGTGTCACCAGACTGTGAACTTAAATGTCAACTTGGACTGAAAACTTCTCTTTTAATATTCGGTTGGAGTCCTTTGAATATTCAGGATTGTGTGTTCAAATACCATCTGTGAAAACATCTTTAGTCATATAACTCAAGTGCCCAAATTCTTTAAGCCTGTGAGTTGTGTGTGTTTGAAATGTAAACTTCTGGCCAAGCATTTTTCTGTTGTGTAGGCAGCACGGGACCTCAGGGAATGAAATGTCCATTTCATTCTTGCTTTGGCTGCCTGGAGGTTCAACTGACCTACTTAGCAAGTGCCTAGATAGGCCACCTTTGTTGGGTAATTTTATATCATCGCAAAATAGCCATGAGCTAGACTTTACAAATGAACCCAGATGCTACAGATTGATCAGCAATAAATCTTGTGGCCTTTGAAATGCGGCACATCTAAATGCTAAACTATATCTGGTACACCGCAACAAATCTTAGAAATCGTCCAATTGAAACACAAGTGATAGGCCCTCAGGATTTGAAGGTCATAAAAGGAAACAGAGAGATGATTGCCCCTTTTCCTTTGTGGCTATATTAATGAATCAGTGAGACCTGGATCAAGTAGACAGTGGCGTTATTATGGATGTATGGAGCCAACCCAATGATAATACAGATGGCCTTAGTGGAGGGGCTAGGAATCTTGAAATATTGCTCCCATTTATACCCCAATCATTTGCACATTTTTGAATATTTTCACTCCAGTCTCTTAGTTTGCCAGACACGTGGAACTCCCCCCAACAAAGATCTCCAACGGAAACACATCCATTCTGGGGGGTAAAGATTATCAAAATTATCTGCTAAGTTAAATTTATATTCTGTGTTTAATCAAAACTAGGGAAAATAATTCCAAGTAATTAATATTAATGTCAACTGCATTGAAGGTTTATCCACAGTACGTGCATACTCAGTTTAAGAATGCATGTTTTGGGAGGTCATCACATATATTGGCGCAAGCTTCCCAAATTTATTCCCAGACAACCACTGTGGCACACTTAGTAATTGCCATTTATGCCTTGTACACTTTACATTCATATGGCTGTTTCCTATCAATGCATTCTAGTCTGCATGCAGACTGTTCCCACATTTATTCTCAGGTTAAGAATCAGGAATGTGACATTAATGTTGGAGATTAAGATCCTCTTTCCTGAACTAGGACAATTTCTGTTTACTCACTGTGTTCAGCAAGCCAAGACTAAGAACTAATCCTGAAGTCCAAACAGTCCTTCACTCTCCCAGTTTTGCTGAGGACGTCAAGCACAGTCTTGGGCAAATGATTTCCTGGTTACTTGTACCTTGATATTGAAACATAAAGGACAATATATTGTTCCTGTTGGCTTTAATTTGGCCTCCTTCTTTTTGATTCCCTTCCAATGGTCAACTCAGTATTTCATTTCAGGATATTGCTTCATTGCTTAATGTTTCCTGGTTTGAATCTTACTCTCTTTGGCTGATTCAGTTTGGCAGGTGGGACTACATCACATTGTGGGAAACCATTTAATTAAAACACGGCGTATTCTTAATGGTTCTTCAGAGCTTAGTTCATTTCTTGGGCAAACGCTGATTTCATTAGTACATTTAATCTGTGTTAAGTGAGGGAGAGATATTGATATAATTTAATAGCTAAGTATTCAGTGTAGGAATTTATGTTACCTCTAATCCCAACTTGGGTATTTCCTAGAGAGTTGAAGTTTGCTGTGATCCACATCCTGTAACATTACAGTACGCAACCCAGTCAAAATGTAATAACTCCAATTAATCCACACATTCTCAGTTGATTCACAAGGGAGTCATGTTTTGAGCTGCAATATAGTTCAACTCCAAATGATTAGGCAGTTCTAAGCAAACCAGTTGGGGATATCAAAGTTCGAAAGAGTGAGGCTCACTAACAGGATCTCACAGTTGGAAAATGATCCTTGCAGTAATCAGCTTAGGATCTGTTCAACCTCTGATCATCAACAAGTGAGACTCGGAGCATTTTGTTCAAAAAAGATTGCATTGAAATTGAAGTGATTCCACTGATGACAGTGTGAATCTTTGATAGTATGACCACATTAATAATATGCTCTGAAACAGGGTAGAAACTAGCTTGAGCTTTATATATTATGCTTGAAGTGGGTTGTAGATTGCTTTTTAATCTCCCCAAAAGTGAAATTGCACTCAGCTATGTCTATACACCACTGTCTAATTAGCCACTACCCAATCTGAGTGCTTATTTATATAGGGGTGAACAATTGCAAACATGACAACCATTTTCACTGTAGGTTTTCTAAATGTTCGACATCGAATAAAAAATGTTTCTGTTTCTAATCTGTTTGCATTTGTGATGTAAATGCAATTTACCTGAAGAGTTTTCAGCTTTTTTGTTTTTAACCAAGTGGTAGTCATAAACAATATTAGACTACTTCCATTTTGTAGTAGTTTGAATCAGAGCAACCAAGCAAATTTTTTCACATTAAAAATAGTTAACCTAAAACAAAGACTACTGAAATTGTTAAAATTTCATCATTTGTGGAACCATTGAAGACAGTCAGAGGCAGTTTCCAGTGTTGATTCTACTCAGTTTCATAGTCTACAGTGTCAGTCTGTTCTTATGGTAGCCCTAACATGGCCTTTGGACTTCGGCTCTCTCTGTCTCTTGCTTTCATTTGCCACCTGCATAAGGCACTCTCACCAGCTTTGGCACTTCATGTCTTTTCAGGCTTGACTGAGCTAGAATTCAATACCTTTTCTTCTGTTTTCTAGGAAAGGTAGACAATTCAAGGCTATGAAGATTTTATTTAGGGATTTTATTTAAAACAAAACAATCGGTCCTGTGGTTTGTTTTGTTAATTTCCCAGCACATAATGGGAATTGACTACAAAGGTATGTCAAAATCTAGCATTTACTGTGTGGTGGAAGATAGGTGGCCCCTATACACCATCTCTCTACGATGTGCCATTCTAGACCGTGGCATTTCAGTCAGGCATGGATTAGGTCAGTGGCACTTGGCCAAAGATTAAAGGGCATCACTGGTTCATTCAACTAACTGTCTTGGCATGATCCATTAGAGTTCCTGTTTTTTAAATTCATTGTGCTTGATAAGCTCAGGCATTATATGACTCAAAGACGAAAGATGTTTTCAAGAAAGAATTTTCTAAAAAATTGTGATGCATATAGTAATACAGTTGAACTTTCTTTTAAAAGGCTGAACCAATTTGATTCATAAAACATATTTGTAATGCTGCTCATGAGCTGTATTGATGGGAAAATGAATTACAGAGGTTGCTTTATTAACCTGCTCTCAGATTAAATGAGACCTGTTCCATGTAATATGGGACTCCAACAATGTGATCTTTGTTCCTTTGTAAGAAATCTGGGTAAAACCCATGGCCCCAGAGTAGGACACAACCAAAGCTGATCAGAATGAAAATAAGCCATTCAAGACACTTGGATTAGCTGATATCAAATTTGGTTTAAATACCTGTGGTTACACCATCTGTGTTACTGTACAAAGGATATGGAAAGATTTTTTTTTATATAATGCTTTTCACATTCTCGGTGTCTTGAAGCACTTCATGGTCAAATGAATCTTATTTGGTGCAAACTCAGCAACTAATTTGAGCAAAGCAAAATCACAAAAGTACTGATATGGTTGATCAGCTGAAGATGGCCTTTGAGTGAGAAGTCCCTTTCGCTTATAATTCTTTGCTTCCACCTAAACAGACAGACAGAGCCTCCATGTGATCCAAACTGTGGTCCTCCAGCATGAAGAAATGCAAGTATCTTCTCTTGATCTATAAATAGTAGAAGTGCTGTAAAAGGAGAAGTGGAGCTGATCTGGGACCTCGCAGAAGATTTATGTATGGAGGCTGGAATATAGTGTAGTCCCAATGGGCACTTGCGTTGTCTTTGCCAAAGAAGGAAATGATGCCCAAATCACAGTGAAAGAGGACGGGAGTGATCGCTGGCCTATTGATCCAGAGACCCAGGCAATGTTCTGAGGACATGGATTTGAATCCGACCAAGGCAGATGGTGGAATTCGAATTCAATAAAAATCTGGAATTAATCTGATGATTCTGGACTCTGTTGATTGCCAGGAGAAAAAAAAACCATCTGGTTCACTCATATCCTTTATTCCTTCTCTGCTGTCCTTACCTGATGTAGTATACATGTGATTCCAGACTCTCAGCAATGTGATGGACTTTTAACAGTCCTCTGTGCAATTAGGGATGGGCTCTAAATGCTGGCCTGGTCAGCAATACCAATATCTGATGAATGAATTACAAAAAAAAATTGAGACACTCGATTTGTAAAAAAACTGGTGTAAAAGAGCTGATTGTACTTAAAGTTCATAATCCACCAGACCAGTTGAGATGCATCCAAGGATATGGAGGGACGAAAGAAGAGAAATTTGGAGACACTGTGTACAATTTTCCCATCCTCTTTAGCTAAAGTGATATGAACTGTCAAATGTTATGTCCTTGTTTAGAAAGTGGTGTAAGGATAAGCTCAGCAACTTGAGACCAATCAGTTTAACCGAGGTGGTGAAGAAACTTGCAGCAATAGTAATTTGGGAGTTACTAAAGTTGGCCCGATGCGGACTTACTAGGGAAAGTCAGCATAGGCTT